TCTCATTAATTTAAATGTTCACTATCAAATCATCAGGCAGTTTGTTAGTCTGTTGTCTTGTGCTGTCTGGTTGTATAAAGTCTGAAATGAAAAAGGTAATTTAAACAAATTAAATGCCTTCAGCAATAAGTAATATCTGTAGTCCATAAAACAGTAAGATTATGCCATGCTTATTTACAAGTCATCCTTACTCTTTGAGAAGAAAATCTGTTTTCTTTTTCAAATTGAATTACTATTGAAATAAAGGAACTATTAACCATGAGTAAATGTGGCAGAATAAGGCCAAGAATTCCATTGGTTTTCTTTTTTTTTTTCTTTTTCTTTCATTTTAATTTCAAGGCTAACATGTTAGGTCACAGAAATAGCTGACATTTTTGCTGTCAGCTTTTTCACAAAGATGTTAAGTGATTATCCTTTGGGACATGGAAGCAAAGGCAATAAAATATTCAAGATTCCACATGCAGGTTATTCTGATGAAAATTTAGAATGCAGTCAGAGTTTCTGGAGTAAGAAATAAGCTCTGATACTCTGATCAGCCAAATATTTAAAAACTGGTTAAATATTTAGTAACATCCAGTACTGATATTATGATTGCACACTTATGTTGTACAGCTTATATTATGCACTAGTTGGGCCACAGCCAATAACAAATGAGTTGCAATGGAGGACTTTTCAGTATCCTTAAGGCAGATGTCTAGAAGAGTCTAAGTGCATGTACTGGTGCTGAGTCAGTAACAAGCATTTCATTGGTTTGCATTTGTGAACAGTACATGAAAACTATTGTATTTAGAAGACCATTAAAATAGTATGCAAATATTACTTTTGATCACATAAAAACTGACTAAAGAGTCCCATTAGGTATATGTCCAATTTGATGCAGTATTTTTAATCAGAAATGTACTGCTTTTAAAGAAGATCAGTTGCACACATTTCTCCAGTCACCTTTGCCTCTCATAAGCCTTTGTGGTTTTCTTTCTTTAAAAAAAAATATTATGCTACAGAAAGAAAGAATAAATTAAAAATAAAAATGCCTTTTACACCGAATGTTGTGCTAAAATCTCCATAATAAACATGTATTTATTACTTTTAAGATAAAGTAAAAAATACAGCCAAAATTACGACTTTAAGTAGTAATAGCAGCCTGGAGTGATGGGAGGAAAAGTCATTAATACATTCTCTCCTTTCTTGAACATTGTGTACTTGAATGTAATGTACGTTAGGTCATATCTAAAGATCGTCAAAAAAGAAAATCAAAGAGTGTCCACGGGGTACTTTTCTCAATGTCAAGGACAGGAGTAAGGGGGTGAGCAATATAATGTTGCAGTTTAAAATGTAATTACCCTTTATTTGGAAGGGGATCCACTCATGTTTTGAATTTTACCACTCATGAGTTAAAATATCCTGACTAACTTCTGGTATCTGAAAAGGGTCTTCACTGGAATATTGTTCTCTCTGTTTCATGTGGAGTTTTTGAGAATCTCCTTTTTCAGTAGCATAAAATTTTCACTGGTAGCTCTATAAAAAGGCTGGACCTTTGACCTCTTGTTGTTTCAGAATGGTGTTTTGTTTCTACTGGGCCTTTAATTTCAAGACAGTAGTTTCACATCTTTAGGGGAAAATAGAGAAAGCGTTTTGTGTTAGTTTAATTTTTAATGACAAATATTTGATTTTGCTCAGAATTCTGAATTGTTAGAATAAATCCCAGTGTAGATGAGTGAATAGTTGGAAGGGACTATATAGTAGCCAGCCAGGTGCACGATAGATGTAACATCACATGGTTATTTATTTAGATATGTGTACATTAAAGTTTCTCTAGTTCAGATTGGCACAACTCATACACATTCTTTTCCTTTAAGTACATAGTTTTAAATGGTTACTAAAATGTTTTGTTGGGTTGAGCCTGACTGTTCAATACTTTTAGGATCAAATTCTTAATTACACTGCAAATTCTTATGCATATCAGAAGTTTTTGTATGTTCCATAAGTCTATGAATGGGCATGCATATATGTAGATGAAGGGTGAAGGTGTTCATATATATGGACATTTTTGCTAGAGAATCTGCAATGTAAAATTCTTACTTTTCCCTCCAAGAATATCAAATAGAATCAGAAGTAATTACCTTTATCATGGGTAGGCAAGTTTTCTTGTTAAGTAAGGTCCTGATCTTCATCTCAACTCTTTTTTTAAACAGAGACTGTCAACCAAAGCTGATTACTTTGTGATGTGAACTGCGGAGGATAAGGAATTAATTTCCAATTGTAAAATTACAGAACACAGTGTTCAGTACTTTCTATTATAACAATTCCAGTGTTGGGGTTTGGGCCTACCTATCTATTAAATTAAGTACTTTTCCACATGTCATGCCAATATGCCTTTTAAACAGTAACTGTTTTTTATGATAGTTATAAAGTGACAGGAGCAGCAGGGTGTTAGCTGTCATGGTCCCCCAGCTTTACCTGTGATAGATTAGAGTGTTATGTCCTGTGTTGTGTCAGGGTTGACTGTAGTTTTTCAAAGATGTTAGACAATGGATTTATATGAAATAGTTTGGATAGGAATGATCCCGCCTCAGGCAGAGGGTTGGACAGTATGACCTCTGGAGGTCCCTTCCAGCCTGATTTCTCTATGATTCTGAGATTCTATGAATTTAATTAAAAAC